TGACCAGAATCTGTCATATTGTTACGTAGTCCTTTCCTGGGTCCTATCAAAGTCTCCATCTTGCCACATAAGATGCGTCTACTCTCTCCCTGATTCACATATTTCACTCGACTCTTGCCACCTAATCTGTGTTGCTCAAGGCGTTAATTGCCCTCCCCCCTGTGTCTGGGTGATTAATTCGAGGCTAAAAACTCTGTTTAAGTACATGGTCACTCATTTTCTACATGGACCACGTTTATGGTAAAAACAGACCTACTGCCAGCCCCCTAGCTCCTATCGCCGCCGCGTCTATCCTGTTTCTATCTCTAATACCAAGTCTATGACTTCCCATGCCCTAGTCACTTGTGTGTCAACCCACAAATATTGTGGTAAATAAATTCAGACAAAATCTAATCTAACTTTTAAGTCGGAGACTCTGCGTAGAACTAAGTATCCTTCAGTGAGAAGCCTTAGTTGAATAAAAGCCGAATCCCTTCTAAGTGAGCTTGTGCTGCTGCACAATGGATTTCGTTTTAAACGGGCCAACAAAAAATTGGGAAATAGATCAACTACACCCACCAACACGACATAGTGACGTCAAGATAGCCAACCATGAAGGTGGTTCAATTAGGCGCTCTACCAATACTAGGCTCTCGCAATCATGAATGCTGACTAAATAAGCGGCAGATAGAATACATATAGATGAGAAGAGTGCAACTGTCGTAAGAGAAAATGGAGAATGCTTAGTCAAGGGGAAAGACTGCCTTGGTGGCACTTTCGTCTATAATAACTTGGAGAATGATCCATTAAAAAGCAGTTATAGGTCACTTTCATTCCAAAAAGAAACTCGTCTAAACTGATATGCCTCGACAACAATAATAATGCATAAGAGATATGTTAACAATGGTTCGTTCAAGCTGAGGAGAAGATGGATAGTTGAGCTTCCGACAATGAGAAAGTTAAAAGCTCTTACGACGTAGTTCAATTTCACATGGTCTTGCCTCCCTAAAAGCCTTTTCAGTGAGGCCGGATCGCGGTTTCCTTCTCGCTTAGACCTCAACAGAATCATCAACGAGATTCGAAACCATGTCGTGTGCGTCAAGTAGCAAATTTACCTGCTCGCCGCAGGTGAGAGATATCACTATCAATTCATATTTATAATGTGATTGCTAATAGGTAGGCTTTGAAATATTTTTATTACTTGAATCAGAACTCATTTAAGCCTAGGCCGAATAAAGATGATATAAGGAAAGATTGTGAAATTTCTCATATAGGAAGTTTGACTATCGATTCTGGCTTCATCTTAAATGTCCCAGGCGGATACGAATCCTACTTCAAGATCTATCGATAGTCTCCCAATATAGTACTGCTAGCAATAAAGCCACTGAAAAAGTCGTTTAGAAAAAATAAAATCAGCGCATTATTATACTTATTTCGTTTGTTGCTGTATGATCTATGCATCAATTCACCATTATTTTTGTCCACTTACCCTTCCTTCGGTATACATCTCCCATTGGCCCAACACCTCACCTAACAGTATGGCTGACTATCTACATGTCTAGCTCAATAGGCATATGTAGGTTATCTGTTGTCATTCTTACGGAGACGGTGGAGTATTAAGACTAGACGAATTGGACGCAGTACTCAGCATCGTCCCGAAGTCTCGCTTCGCTCGAAGATCCGGCTGAATTTGATTGCCCTCAACTACTTGGTTGAAGGCAGTGCTTGAAGTTGGGGCGGTACAAAGCGAAGAAGCTTTCCAGACCTCGATAGGACACTCGTCTAGTGCTCCTGAAATCAACTGCTGCCGTTCAAGACTCGGCTGACCAGGTCGCTTTCTTGTCGGCCCTGCGTCTGCGAAGACGGCCGCTCTTGACTTCACCGGAACCAGCGAAGAGTGCATCTCGGCCGTCGATGAGGGAGGCAAGGGCGCCAGAGTCTTGACGACAGGCATTGTCGCCAAGGCCGTTCCGCTAGTCGCGACCAGCGAAGTCATCGAGGCGCCTGACGAACTGACTGGGATCGTTGAGCTCTTGTCTGGTGAGAATGCGGGTCCGGTAGTGCTGGTGAACTGTCGCCGGGACCCAATAGGCTCGAGAGGTCGGGCGGAAACAGGCTGTGTGTCGTCGCGCTGAAAAAGCTATGCGCAAACGAAAGTGATGCGTGTGGTTGAACGGTATCATAAAATGTACGATTTTCGAAGGCATGAATTGCAATATAGTGCGGTCCCGATTTTCGTCACCGTCTTCTTTTGCTGTATAAAATTGGTTTGATCTCGTTTACGCTGGTCGTGTTGTTAGGATGACCTAGATTATACATTTCTTAAATGTACCAAGTTCACGCTACGACGCTGAAAATTAGCATGACTACTACATCGAGGGATTTTGAACAAGGCGCGTCCACCTAGATCGTCCTGACAACACGATAAATAAGTGAAAACTAGGTCAAAACACTGAATTTTATAATTTCCTAAAAGTCGCATAATCATTTCCTTTGCTGCACATATTTGGGGCAGCCCCAATCATTTCGACGAGTATGACCCACTTAGGATTATTGTACATAATAGAGTTAGCGTAAAGCAAATCTCCGAAATTTGGAAATTTTCGGTTAGGAACTCTTACGACTTTATAAAGTTATGAGAGGTATTTACCCTATTTCGTTTAAGATAATGAAGGACTGGTAGTACAATTTTCCCACAAGGATATGAGTAGAGCTGACGTTTCTATCGGATTTCACAGAGTTGTTTTCATCCAGGGTGGACTGCAGTTTCGACTTTGCATAGGTCGAAACGATATGCTTAAATAAGGATTGCATCACTGGGTTACTAAGCAATATAAAATGACAAATAACTCTGATAAAACTCAAGAACTCATTTAAAATGCATTTAGATAATGCTTCTGGTAATTCTTCTTTTCTTATTCATTAGAAGTGCTCTGTTCTATAGAATTAAGTAGCAGAAATTGTCACAAATAAGGAAGGAGATCGATTATTGCCAACACAAATAAAATAGTGAAAACAAGCAGGTATAGATTGCCTCAGGCATGATGTAAATATAAGTTGAGGCATACTCACATGGCAAAAGTCAACATGAAAGAATATAAAAA